GATCCACCGTTTTTCGATCATCATTGTTTATTCGGTATCGTTTCTTGCGTAAGAGTTATCGATCCCCAGCCATGTAAGAGCTTCCGTTTAACGATCTCTCTAACGTTACGGAAGAGTACACGGAGAAAGGAGTGATTAACGTTCAAGCTCGACATTAAATCGGCGTTCGAGCAGACGTAATTCAATTTTCAAGTGAACGCTCGCGATTAAGTTGGCGATCAACAACGCTTTTCTTTCTCCGTGTTGAAACTGTGCTTCATTGGCGTTGGCCACGCGTGCGAAAACGTTTGCGGATGGATACGAATCGCAGATGAACTCGGTGAAACAGAAGAAGAAGAACAATATATAATATGCCCGGCAAGAAAGCAAGGTACAAGTAATCCGAAAAGGGATTGCACGAACAATCCTCGTGTTCCCGTTTCGAAAATTAGGATAACGCGGAGGAAGCGGACGATCTCGTCGATTTTTCTTTTTTAAAATCACAATTCTACGCGTGAACGTAATCAATCCGCTGAATCAATTCCCGCGTGATTAATTTGCGTAATAATTTTCCTAGAAGAAGTCTATTCGGATACATTTGATCCATATTTTCGGATTGTTATTAGCCGGGGAAAGGATATCGTACGTTTCCTTCGTGTACGCATAGCATACGTATATGCATCGAGTCCAGAAGAGATTTAGAGGCTGAAAGGAATTCGTCAAATTATAAAACGGTGCTATTAGGCTAATTGTGATTAACGAACGCTTAATGAATTCGAGAGTACTTAAGTTTCTTCTATCTCGTTGCATGAGACGCGACGAATAGGGGGAAGAATATTTTTGTTCCTATTACTTAAGAAAATTAAAGGAAGCATCGCGACCAGTTTCCAATCCCCTATTGGAGTGGAAACGATTTATCTCGTGATTGACGTTCTCCTGATTACGAATCCATCAGATCTTTCCTGGACTCAACGTTGTTGCATTGTTTTCTTTTTTTTTCTTTTTTTTTTTTTTTCTTTTCTTCTTTATTTTTACGATGCCACTTACGTGTAATTCGCGCGCGCCTTCCCCGCGATGTTCACAGGGGAAGAGATTAGGGCAAGAAGAAATTCAAGAAAATGATCAAGCAATCCTAGATTTAGAAAGAAAGAAAGAAAGAAAGAAAAGCGAGAAGGGATATACGAGCGAAACAGGATGAAAAAAGAAAAAAAGAAAAAAAACAAGAGAATCTCGGATCGTTCGAACGTAGAAATATCTCGAATGAAGAACGAGGTCGTAGTATTGTTGTTACTTATTAATTGTCATCGCTGTAAAACGAAAAAAAAAAAAAGGCCAATTCCATTAGGTGTATTTTATCCTCTTCCCTCGATGTAATAATAAATGTTCAATCAACGGATGATTTCATTTTTTTTTTTTTTGAGTCGTTCTTTTTTTTTTTTTTTTTTTCATTTTGGAAAAATAAAATTGAATGTTGCAATGTGGTACGTTCGATTTTCTGCGTGAATCGCGGATATCTATACGAGGAGTTCGAAATCGAAACTCGTTCCCTTTCCGTCCAAATTATATGATAGAAGAACAATTTCCATCTTCGCAATCGAGTATCGTTGTATCGTTTCTCCTTCCCTGATCGGATTTTATAAAATTATACGGGAAAAAGAGAGAGAGAGAGAGAGAGAGAGAGAGAGAGAGAGAGAGAGAAGAAGAAGAA